TGTGAGGGAAGGCAAGTCTGCAGGCAGGGATGACTCATGGCTTTTGACATCTCTTTATATTGCCTTATACCATTGTAAAAATTTTCTAGACTTAAGCTCTTAGGAGAAGAAGCCTCTATGTTGTTCCTCTTATATCCCTTATAACACTTCAGTGCTATGGCCATAGTCAGGGCTAAATAATGATTGAATAAATATTGTAAAACCTAAAGCAATCCAGTGTACATAGGACAGATAAGTGAAATAAGATCTTCATGTGTCTGTTTATGCAGAAAGTAAAGAGAAGAATTATTAGTATTTTGTCCTGGAGAAACAAAGATAGAATTGAAACAATGTGATCTGTGCACTACATTGGCTAAACTTCTATTCAGTGTTTACAAAATTATGACTGTATAAATGCAACTCACTGGCTATATAACATTGTTAGGATTATTTTTTTCTTTCTTGCACAACTTTTTGTTTTCCCTTGAGTTAATAATGATCTTGTTGTATGCTTATTTGCTTAGTTTCCTGTGCACTTCTTACTAGTTTATCTACAACCCGTCTGCCATTTGTACAAGTTTCTCCTCACTCAGTATGTTCAAACTTAGTGGTATTGTTTTATCTTCTTGGAAATCCACTCCCAAAGCCACCTCTCTTTCTCCAGTCTGATCCCAGCTGCTCTTAGGCTTGCTACATGGCTCTCAGTTTAGGATTTTCTTCACCATTATCCTGAAGATATTTTCACTTCTTTCTACTGTTGGAAGCTGTTTCTGGGCCTTTTTCTTGTTCCTGTGTTCATTTTGCCAGGCACATTCTGAGGAAGAGTGCACGGGAGGTCAATTTTCTGAGGCCCTGCATGCCTAGAATGCCTTTGTTCTACCCTCACCCTCCAATGATAGCAATCCAGATTTGATATAATTTTCTCTAGCTTCCAGAAATACCATTGAAAAGTGCAGTACTATTCTGGGTCTAGATCTTTGGTAAGTATCCCACTTATCCTCTGTGGAAACTTTAAGAATCTTGTTCCTTAAATTTGTGATGATGTGTCTTAATAAAGGACAGTTCTCATTCATGTGCTGAGTACTTAGTGGGTCCTTACCATCTAGTACAGAAGTTCCAACTGTGGCTAAGCCCTTGTTTAATGAGCCAAATCTGGCCTGCCACAGTTGTTAGCAGTAAAGTTTTATTGGCACACAGCCACACTCATGCATTTACATATTGCCTGTGGCATTACACAGCTAAATTGAATGATGTGACAGACTGTGGTCTACAGAGCTTAAAATATCTGTGGCTTTTCACAAACTATGTTTGCTGACCCCCAGTCTAAAAAATGGACAACTTCAATTTTGGCCAAAAAAATTTTTTTTGTTTATTTTTAAAATTTTCTTTCTCATGTCTTGTGTTCCCTCTCTCTGGAACTCTCACTACTTAGATGTTAAACCTTCTGGACTGGAACTCAGATTTTTCTTCTATTTTTTTTTTAAGATTTTATTTATTTATTCATGAGAGACACACAGAGAGGCAGAGACAGAGGCAGAGGGAGAAGGAGGGTTCCTGCAGGGAACCCAATGCGGGACTCTATCCCAGGACCCCAAGATCATGACGTAGCTGAAGACAGACACTCAACCTCTGAGCTACCCAGGTGTCCCTTTTTTATTTTTTAAAGTAACTTTTTTATTATAATATAAAACAAAAAACCAAACATATATATAGTTAATAAATTGTTGTAAAGCAACCGTCCTTATGACTGCTACTCAGGTCTAAAATAGAATATTTCCAGTAACTCAAAAGATCCTCTCTGTGCCCCAATCTAATTACAACCCACTCTGACACATATGTCGTGGATTTCAACCCATTGCAATACTGTCATTTTTTGCAGCTCAGATTATCCCATTTTGGACAGTGAGCCTCTTCATGCTGTCTGCTGTGTCCTTTTATTGTGACCTTTGTACCCTTTGATTGTTTCCTTGCTATATACTTAAGCAGGATATTTAAGACTGCTCTGGTATATTCCTACCCTAAATCTGGTATCACCCATTTCTCTAAAATACTCTATAGTCTTTTAGTAGGAAATGGATTTTTTTTAAGATTTTATTTATTCATGAGAATACACAGAGAGAGGAGAGAGAGAGAGAGAGAGAGAGAGAGAGAGAGAGGCAGGCAGAGACATAGGCAGAGGGAGAAGCAGGCTCCACACAGGGAGCCCAACTTGGGACTTGATCCCGGAACTCCAGGATCACACCCTGGGCTGAAAGGCCGCGCTATACTGCTGAGCCTCCTGGGCTGCCCAGGAAATGGAATTTTAAGCTCCCATTGTGGTTGCTCATTACTCCTGGATTGGTCATTATTTCTAGGTCATCATTTGAAGAAAGGGAATATGTATTTTCCTTCCCTTATTTTTTCATGCTTTTATTATATTTATATTATCAGAACATACAGGCATTACATACTATCCTCTCTCCCTTTTAATCTTCATTTGGTCCTACTTCTACATAACTGTGTTTAATACTCACTACTAGCTGATGTATTGATGTTTCTATAGTCATTTAGTTTGTCTAAAAGTCATTCTTCAGAAGATATCTCAGGATGGGATCATGAGAATAAAATGCCTTAAGTTCTTGCAGGTTAACAATTGTTTACTGTGCTCTGTAACCTTGAAAGTCAGTTTTGTTAATTGTATGATCCTTGGCTTGCATTTTCTTTCTGTGAATGTCTTAAAATATTTTACTCACTTCTTTAAGTAAAATAGCATTGCTGTTGAAACTCTGGTGTTGTACTTTTTCCTTTGTAAATCACTTGCTCACTTTGCCTAGCTTCCCAGAAGTTTATTTATAGTGTAAATATTTTCAGAATATATCTGGTGTTAGTTCTTCTGGGTCAGTATTTTCAGGTCTGTGAAAGTTCTTTCAGTGTATAATTTCAAGCCTCTTTTATTTTAGCTATTAGTTTTTAGTATTTGTTCTGTTCCCTTGCTTGGATTTCTGTTAGGAACTCCTGTTCTCTGTATGTTGCTTTTTCTTTGCCTGTCTTCATTTTCTGCCTTTCTTCCAAATTCTTAACTTTTCATTTCTTTCTAGCATTTAATCTTTTCTTCCTATGTTCTTATTATGCCATTACCTGTTGTGTGTTTATCCAGTCTAGTAATTCTGTTAGTTCAGTCTCCATTTCTGAAAAAAATGTTTTAAATTTCTAATTCTTTATTAAGTTCTATCACCTTGTTTTGAAGCTTTTCTGGTTTTTCTTTTATGTAGTTCTTTTGTGTCTTATATAATTTTTTTATGTTTTTAACTAATTTTAAAATTTTGATAGGTTTTGTTGGCATGCTTTTATTGTATGCTATCATATTTTATGTCCAAGAGCTTTTTTATTCTCTTAATGCTCTTTTTTTAATAGAAGCCACTTCTCATTTCTTAGACATAATATCTTATCTATCTCTTTATGGATAATGATAGTATTTTTTAAAATTTTATTCTACCAGCCTAATTTATTTCCTCTTGTCCTCCCTCCACTTGTTTTGACCTTTATCATTTTAGAGATTTTCCTCAAATGTATGCTGATCCTTGGTTATTGGCTCATGTTTAGGAGTTGGAGAGTAAAAAACTGATTATAAAAGTCTTTGTGCCGGGATCCCTGGGTGGCGCAGCGGTTTGGCGCCTGCCTTTGGCCCAGGGCGCGATCCTGGAGACCCGGGATCGAATCCCATATCGGGCTCCCGGTGCATGGAGCCTGCTTCTCCCTCTGCCTGTGTCTCTGCCTCTCTCTGTCTGTGACTATCATAAAATAAAAAAAAATAAAATAAAAAAAAAAATAAAAGTCTTTGTGCCATGGAAGCTTCTATTTATCAGGGTTTTTTGTTTTTGTCTTTTTTTTTTTTAACCAAATCCCCTTGTTTTTAGGCTCACCTTCCACCTTACTTCCAGACATATCTGTTGTTTCAGATTGCTGAGCTTTTTGTGGGTTCTGCAGTTTAAATTATTTGAATTAAACTTTCCTGTGTGTGCTAATTATTTGTCTTTATACTTTCCACTTTCTAAAATGCCATTGCTCTTGCCTCTTCTCTCATTCTCTTTGTCTTGAAGGTGTGTGTGTGTGTGCCTGTGTGTGCAAAGCCCTTCACTATGTTCAGTGGTATTTCAGGGAAATCACTCTCCCAGGTCTATTCCTGATTTTGTTAGAGCAAATGATATAGTATTTTTCTAATGAGAAAGTTTTGTTTGTTTGTTTTAAGGGGTACTCCTGATGCTGATCTGAAAAGTCACAAATTGTGTTTTATTTTCCTCCTTTATGCCACACCTCAGCTGTGTTTCACTCAGTCCTTTTCTATAGCTTTGCAGGCCCATGAGCAAAGTGTATTTCATTTATCATTCATGAATAGGGAAGAGAATTTGAAATGTCCTATAGAAATGCACTATGTTAAGATGCATATGATAAGCCGTAGAACAGCCATAAAGGAAATAACTCAAAAAAATACAGTGAAAAACCATGAAGGAAATTAAAAGGCTGCATTAGAAAATATTCACTTAGTACCAAAAGGTAGTATAAAAGAGGAACAAAGGAACAAAACAGACATGAGACATAGAGAAAACAAAATAAATTGGTAAACATAATCCAGCTATATCAGTAGTAAATGTGAGTGGATTAAGCAATTTATATGGCAGAGATGACCAGATGAGATTAAAAACGCACATACACACAATATCCAGCTATATGCTGTTTAAACAAAATAAAAAATAGGAAAAGAATAAAGTTTTTTTTTTTAAGATCAACAAAGCTAGCAAATCTTCAGCCAGATTGGCCCAAAAAAAAAAAAAAAAGAAGAAGAAGAAGAAGACTCAAACTACTAGAATCAGAAGTGAAAAAGGGTCAGTCAGTACTACCAGCCTTACAGAAATAAAAATTATTATAAAGGAATCCTGTAAACAATTCTGTGCCAGTAAGTTGGACAACTTAAAGGAAATGGGCAAATTACTTGAAAGGAATCCTTGATAACATAAAGAATTGGCATTCTGATGCGTTTATAGGCTGCTGCCTTCTCCACTCAAGGATGCAGTGGAAGTATCAACCTGGAGAAGATGCTATACGATGCAAGAGGTGAACTCTGCCCTTAGCAAAATCCAGCTGGTGGGATATTCTCAGAAAATTGTGAGTGTTAATATGATTTTAAGTGATGGCATGAATGCTTTCAATTCATATTGCTCCCCTTTTGGAGGATCTTATAGTTCCCTTCCTGTAGCTATTCAGTCACTGAGAATCTTATTCTAGTACAAGGTGAAAAGTCGGAGCATCTGTCATTACCCTTAATCCTCCAGATTATCAGTGTTCTTTCCTAACCTTCACATTCCCCAGCATTAGTCAGTGTTCTCTTGACCAGCTTGTAATGAGTCAGGAGAAAGAAATATCATCCTATTCACTTTAGAACAGCGGGTGCAACGTTATAGATTTGGGACAAGTGAAACAGGAACCAGAGAGCATAAAACCAATCAAGAAGCAATTTGGCAAGTATAACTTTTGAACTCTGATCTCATATTAAGGGTTCCCATTTTTGTTACCTTGTATCAAGAGCCACTCCGTATAAAATGACCAAGAGATGAATGCTTAACCTAAAAAAGGAAAAAGAAAGCCCAAGTATTTGTCTCTTTAGTCTTTCTGGTAATCTGTCATCTCTGTCTTCTGATGAATAAGGCCTGGGTGCCTGGTACGTGTGGATAGACTGAAACTCAAGAGAGGGGGCAAGTAAAGACTATAGGATTGCTTTTTGGGTCTACCGTATAGTCTCCATTGGGTTTTTTGCTTTATTTTATACTGTCTGTTTTACTTTAAATTTTCTTTTTTTTTAATAAATTAATTTTTATTGGTGTTCAATTTACCAACATACAGAATAACACCCAGTGCTCATCCCGTCAAGTGTCCCCCTCAGTGCCCGTCACCCATTCACCCCCACCCCCCCCTCCACCACCCCTAGTTCTTTTCCCAGAGTTAGAAGTCTTTATGTTCTGTCTCCCTTTCTGATATTTCCCACACATTTCTTCTCCCTTCCCTTATATTCCCTTTCACTATTATTCATATTCCCCAAATGAATGAGAACATACACTGTTTGTCCTTCTTCGATTGACTTACTTCACTCAGCATAATACCCTCCAGTTCCATCCACGTTGAAGCAAATGGTGGGTATTTGTCGTTTCTAATGGCTGAGTAATATTCCATTGTATACATAAACCACATCTTCTTTATCCATTCATCTTTCGATGGACACCGAGGCACTTTAAATTTTCTGTAAGTGAAGGGTATTTCTGGGTTTTTTTCCTGCAAAGATTTACCCAGTGTGACTGCACTGCTGAAAGCTCATCACACATCCTTACTATGGTTCTTTTCTAGGAGCTTTTTGGTGCAGTCCAGGTGACTCCGCTAAGCTCAGGCTATGCCCTTGGAAGTTCCAACTGGATTATCCAGTCCCATTATGAGAAAGTATCATATGTATCTGGATCCTCCTTGCTTACCACACATCCCCAGGTAATTCTAATTCTCTTTTAACAATTAAGTTTTTTAGTTATTTAACCCAAATTTATAATGTATCTAGAGGATCATCAGTTGTTTTTAAATCTTTCTAATTTTGGTTTCTACATGTATTTTTTTTTAATTTTTGTTGTTATGGTAAGAATGTTTAACATGAGATCTCTCCTCTTAATAATTTTATACTATACATTATTGACTATACGTACAGTGTTGTATAGCAGATCTCTAGAGCTTATCTTGCTTAACTGAAACTTTATGTTCTATAGACACTCTTCATGAGAGTTACATTTTTCATGTCCCAATATTTGGGATTACAAGTTCCTCTGAAGATCCTGCTGCCTTTAGGTTCATCTCTAGGATTTTGAGATTTTCTGCTACTTCCAATAATGATAGCCTAATATGGAACAGAAATGGTTACTCGTTTACTCAGCAAGTGTTAATTATTTCTTTACTGAGGGTCTACTATGTGTCAAGCACTTATGTAGGTGTTAGGGAATCAATGGTGACCCATATGCAAAGTCCCAGCTCATGAAATCTGTGTTCAGAAGAGCAGAGAGGGCCGTTGTGATTGCAGCATGCCGAGTATAGTCAACAGGGGTATCCATGGGATGAGCAGAGCCAGGTCATGTGAAACTTTGTAGACCATGATGAAAAATTTAGATTGGATTTTATTTTATTTTTAAAGATTTATTTATTTTAAAGAAAGAGCATGAGCTGGCAGGCAGAGCTAGGGAAAAAGAAACTCAAGCAGACTCCATGCTGAGCATGGAGCTTGATCTCACGACCTGAGCCAAAAGTAATAGTCAGACACCCAATTCCCTGTGCCACCCAGGTACTCTTGGGTTTTATTTTAATGTGTAGAGGGAAGCTATTGGAAGGTTTTTGTTTTGTTTTTCTTTTTTTTTTAATATTTTTTATTTATTTTTTTAATTTATTTTTTTAATTTATTTATGATAGTCATACAGAGAGAGAGAGAGAGAGAGAGGCAGAGACATAGGCAGAGGAAGAAGCAGGCTCCATGCACCGGGAGCCTGATGTGGGATTCGATCCCAGGTCTCCAGGATCGCGCCCTGGGCCAAAGGCAGGCGCCAAACCGCCGCGCCACCCAGGGATCCCTTGTTTTGTTTTTCTAATATTTTACTTATTTATTTATGAGACACAGAGAGAGAGAGAGAGAGAGAGAGAGGCAGAGACACAGGCAGAGGGAGAAGCAGGCTCCATGCAGGGAGCCCGACACGGGACTCAATCCCAGGTCTCCAGGATCACGCCCTGAGCCAAAGGCAGCGCTAAACCGCTGAGCCACCCGGGCTGCCCAACTATTGGAAGATTTTAAGTTGGCCATTTGTTAATAGTCTTATTTGGCAAGTAGTTAAATACATAAACATTGTTATAAATGTATTCTTTATTCCTTTTTAGGTCTTATCATTCATTTCGTATCCTGATTCTTTCCATGCTTGTAAAAGGAGGGGCAGAAAAGATTAGTTAGCTGATGGATGGGTACATACCTGGATAACTTGAGGAAGTCCATATCCTATTTTTATATGAAGGGGGGAAATGACTGTTATAGGTCTGGAACAAAAGGATGCATCTGAGCTGCCACTTTGTACTGGCTTTCTTCATACCTTCTTTGATAATCAAGTTTCATCTCAAGGTCTAGAGGGGACAAATTGCTGTTTTTTTCCTATAGCTAGCAGAATTCTGGGCCTTTCCCGCTTATTGAAATCAAAAACCCATCAATGTCATCTTAATTTGCTTCATTGAATCAAAATACATTATTGGCAACTTCTATCATTTCTTGATATATTCTTCCATGAAAGACAGAAAGATTACTTGGCTGCCAACTCTTCCGATTTGTCCCGCTTAGATCAAAGCCTTTACAGTACTACTGATGTAATTTCCAGTAAATTATTCTTCCAAGGTTCATAAATTTAAAGAGAAAATAAGGTCTTGAAAGTAATGACCAATATACCTAAGTAATTAATTTTAATTTCTAGCTAGAAACCAGTGTTATATGTAAAAAAAGATAGTGAATTAGATTTTTTTAAACCTAGATAATTGTCTTCTATATTGAATTAGTAGGGATAAGAAAAGTTTAGGTGTAGGGGTGCCTGGGTAGCTCAGTTGGTTAAGGGGGGCTGCCTTCAGCTCGGGTCATGAGCTGCATCCTGGGATCAGCCCCACATCAGGCCCCCTGCTCAATGGGCGGCCTGCTTCTTCCTCTCCACCACTTGTGTTTCTCTTTCTCTCTCAAATAAATAAATAAAATCTTTAAAAAAAAATAATAAAAGTTTAGGTGTCAGCAAACTGTGGCCCATGGATCAAATTTGGCTTGCCACCTGTTTTTGTAAATGTCTTGTTGCAGTACAGCTACCTCCATTTAGTTATGGATTGTTTATGGCTGCTTGCACACTGGAACAGCAAAGTTCTGCTTTAGAGTTAAACTTTACAGAAAAGGCCAATCATGGACCTACTTGAGTGGAACCTCCCTATCTGGGAATAGGCTGCTGTGGTAATCTAATAAACATAGGGTAGTGGGGCTTTGGATTAAGCCTGAAGTGGTAAGAATGAAGTGACAGAGAAAAACATTGGCAGGTCTTTAATTCAACAAATACTTATTGAATGCTTTCTGTCTTCAGGGAAGGAAAAATACAGGCCCAAGATTTCATGCTTAGATGATATTAAGAATGGTGATGATAACACCAATCCAGTCAACAAGGAGGAGTTGGCAGAGGGGGTTCTGATTTTAGGAGGAGGTAGTGGGTAAGATGAAGAAGAATTTGAGTGAACACTGGGGACGGATGAAAATATAGAACTGGAACTTGGATGTGAAGGCAAGCCTGGAGACAAATTGAAGCATCAAATTTTTTTAAGTATGTAAATAGCTGAAGGGGAAAGACTGAGCTGTGGGGAACATTTATCATAGAAAGTAGAAGGAAGAAAAATGATCTTGAATAAAAATGGGGAGTTATTGGGGTGCCTAGGTGGCTCAGTTGGTTAAGCATCTGCCTTCTGCTCAGATTGTGATCTCAGAGTTTTGGGATCAAGCCCCACATCAGGTTCCCAGCTCCACAGGAAACTCTCCCTCTGCCCCTCTCCTTGCTCCTGTTCTCTCTTTCTCTCTCTCTCTCTCTTTCTCAAATAAATAAATAATATCTTTAAAAAAAATAAAGAATGGACAGTTAGAGGAGAATTGAGACCCACAAAGGTACAGCATCCAAATGGAAGGAGAGAACTAGCTTTTATTTATTTTTTTTAAAGAGTTATTTATGATAGCCAGAAAGAGAGAGAGAGAGAGAGAGAGAGAGGCAGAGACACAGGCAGAGGGAGAAGCAGGCTCCATGCCGGGAGCCCGACATGGGATTCGATCCCGGGACTCTAGGATCGCACCCTGGGCCAAAGGCAGGCACTAAACTGCTGAGCCACCCAGGGATCCCCGAGAACTAGCTTTTAGTGAGAAGAACTATCTCTATACGAATTTTTCTGATTGATCTAATATTCAACAAAATGCTACATTCTTATATTCTAATACTTGTCTATTGATGATAATGTTATCTGCAAAGAAGTAACGGTTTTGTCACTTTTCTTCCAATCCTTCTATTTTTTGTTTCTTTTTCCTGTCTCACAACTATTACTTTAGTCCCAGGTAAACAGAAGTAATGATAGTGGCAGCCTTGTCTTGTACCAGATTTTAAAATGCTTTTGTAGCTTCTTCATTAAATAAGATGGCTTACTATATTTTTAGCTATCAAGTTAAGGAGTTTCTCCTCTGTTCGCAGTTTTCTGATTTAAAGAAATCGAATGTAGATGTACCTTATCAAATGATTTTTCTGAGTCTATGATGTGATTTCTCTCCTTTAGAACAATAATGTAGTAAATTATAATACTAGTTTTTCTCACATTTTACCGATAAATCTTACTTGATCACAGTTTATTCTTTTTAAAATATACTCATGGAATAAATTGGCCAGTATGTCTGCATTACTGATTGTCTTCAAAGAATACGTTTTTGTGTTTAACTGTTTTTGTATTTTCATTCTCTATTCTGTCCTTTATTATTTCCTTCCTCCCATCTTTGGGTTTACTCCATTGCTTTTCTTTTAATATTTGTCTCATTCATTTCCATCCTTCTGTGCTTTCCAGTAAGTGTTCTTAAAGCTATCAGTTTCTCTCTTAGTATCATTTAACTCTGTTAAATTGTTGATACGTGTGCTCTGTCTTCATCTCTAAGTATATCATAATTTCCTTCATAATGCTCATAATTTAAGTAGCCAAAGGTTGTTTTGTAGTGCTACTGTTTGCTTCTAGTCCATCCAATATGATTAGACTTAGGGTTAGAGGAGAGACCTTTTTTCAAGTCGTACATAACTGTTTCTGAATTTCTTTCTTAATTTCTTTCTTTCTCTTTTGAATTAGGATAAGAGTATACTAATTCATTGAAGTGTTACTTTGAAGCACAGTCTCTTTCTGTAAGTGTTCTGTGTATGTGGAAAAGACTATATTCACTGCTGAATGAAAAAGTTTTCTCTATGTATTTATTCATTTGAGCTTTTTATGTTATTTCTTTCATATATTTGCTTAGCTTCCAGTTTCTGAAAAGGATGTGTTATTTGTTGGTCTGTTTCTCCCTGTACTTTCACCAGTTACTGCTTCTTATATTTTTAAGCTGTATAATCAGAGGTATATATGTTTATGATCATTATGTTTTATTGAGCAATTATGCCTCTTATCAGGATGCTGATTTTTTTTTCTCTCAAAACTGCATTAAAAGCCAAGAGACTTTGTCTCCTCTCCATATTTCTTTTCATTCCTTCTATATCCTTTTCTAGTGAATCCCTTACAGACAACATGGTAAGGGATTTTTTTTTCTTTTCTTTTTTTAAGGTTTATTTACTTATTTTAGAGAGAACATGCATTCAGGTGGGGAGAGGAGCAGAGGGGGAAGAAGAGAGAATTCTCAAGTATACCCCACTCTGAACACAGAATCTGACTTAGGCTCG